GGGTCGCGTCCCGAGCCCTGGGGGGATTTAACAGCCGGGCAGAGGCGGTGCTGAGGGCCAGGGTTTGGGGGTGGGATGGCAGGGGTAGGGGCACGGTTGGGCTTGATGATCTTAAAGGTCTTTTCCAACCTAGATGATTCTGTGATTCTGTTCTATGACTCCAGCCTGGTGGTGGGCTGCCAGGCTGAGTTCCCAGGGAGATCGGACCCCCCATGCTCCAGGGTCCTGCTGCATTGCAGAGTATCTTTGCTCCCCAATTCTGTTTCTCCTCACTCCCCAAGCTGCTGGAAATGGCAAACTCTGGCTTTATGGTCATCTTTTATTAGTTTAAGGAGACTTGGCTCCCATTTGTCACAGCTGACAAAACTCTGAGAGATGCTTAAAGGCATTCTGAAATTCAAGGAGCTGATACACCAGGCACCGAGGCGGATTTTTTTTCTTCTGTCAGTGGCATGATAAAGATTTAATCACTGGTTATTTAAAATTTAAAGGAAAATAATATATGCAGCCTTTAGTAGTTTAAAACTGAGATAAGTAGGAACAATCTCTGTATGATTAGAAATGACTTCTAAATATTTTTATTACAGGGTTTTCATACTTAGTGAAGTGAATGTATGGAAATAACGCTAGCGCGGGGTGGTTACACATTCTCCAGCCATCCCTGGCAGCGCTTCCATACTTCCCAGTTTGGGCTCGGTGTGGGGCTCCCAGGTACGGATTGCACCGCGCTTCTTTTGCCTCGGGAAGGGAGGTTTGGAAGACGACGGAGTCCCGAGCGCAGGGTCTGTGTGCGGGCAGTCAGTCCGTCTGCAGGGGCGCGGGCAGGACAGCCCTGGCTGGAGCTCCCTGGCTGGCCCCATTCCCACCAGGAGCAGCCGGACAAAGTCTCCCGGAGCCCAGGACCGAGGCGCAGTGCAGCACCCCATCCAAAGGGCTGGTGGTGGCTTGAGGCCGGCCGGGACAGCCCCGCAGCACAGGGAGCAGCCTAACCCTGTCCTGGTCCTCCGAGGCACAGCCTGCGCCCCTCCTCGGGGTCTGCTCCCCAAAACCCAGCTCCTGTGCTTTAAGCACTCGCTCTGGCTCAGGCAGAACTAGGTCATGTTTCCTGCAAACCTGAAATCCGTCTGCAGTGCCCCGAGCTGATTTATGCATTCATGGGGAAAAAAAAAAAAAGCAGTGTGACTGAATTCGGCTTTGAATTTCGGGGTTTCTTTCATCTCGGCACTCCTGGAAAATGAAAGCAGAGGGAAGTAATTGCTGAAGCCCGAGAGTCGCTGGCTCTCCGTGGGCAGGGTGGTTTTGCACTGCGCTCCGGAGCTCGCTGTGCATTCTGCTCTCGTCCCGCATGGGAGCCGCGGAGCGGGGACGCAGCGAGGGTGCTGCTGAGCGGCGGGGGCTGCTCCGCACAGGGGACGCCCCCACCCTCGCACCAGCCCAGCTCATTCGTTCTGTGCCGTACATTTAAAGTGAGAAAATTTGCAAGGATGTCCTATGCGTCGGGGGGTGAGCTAGTGAGTCAGAATAAAGCCAAGTCTGTTATTATTTGTTCACGTATTTATTATTAATCTTTACTATTACTATTATTATCATCGTCATTAATAACGTTATTCACTGATTTTAAAATCTACACCTCTTTTTTTTTTAAACAAAACGAGTAGCATGGATTAGACAAGTGACTTGCACAGTAGCATTGGCAATAAACAGAGCAAGCCCCCAAATGCAATCGAAATGCAGATGACACTGGGCGGGGTGGGAATGTTGATCTGCTGGAGGGTAAGGAGGCTCTGCAGAGGGACCTGGCCAGGCTGGGTCCATGGGCCCAGCCCAACTGGGTGAGGGTCAACAAGGTCAAGGGCCAGGTCCTGCCCTGGGGTCACAACAACCCCAGGCAACGCTCCAGGCGTGGGGCAGAGGGGCTGGAAAGCTGCCCGGCGGAAAAGGAG